AAAAGCCCACCCCATGATTCAGTTACCTCCCACTGGGTCTCACCCATGACACAGGGGAATTATGGGAGCTACCAATCAAGATGAGATTTCGGTGGGGACACAGCCAAACCATATCGCTTGCCTTGCAGAACTTTTACATTTTTGTTAAATAAAGTTCATCAAACTTTTCCTTTATAGCTTCTAGGATATTGCTCCTAGCAGTCACAAAGGCAAGCCACACAAAACTTAAAATATAATAGTAGCCACATGAAAAAAGTAAAAGGCCGGGTGCAGTGGCTCACACCTGTGATCCCAGCATTTTGGGAGGCCAAGGCAGGTGGATCACCTGAGGTCAGGATTTCGAGATCAGCCTGACCAACATGGTGAAACCCTGTCTCTACCAAAAATATAAAAATTATCCGGGCATGGTGGTGGACATCTGTAATCCCAACTACTTGGGAGGCTGAGGCAGGAGAATCACTTGAACCCAGGAGGTGGAGGTTGCAGTGAGCTGAGATCGTGCCATTGCACTCCAGCCTGAGTGACATAGTGAGACTCGATGTCAAAAAAAATAATAATAAAGTAAAAAAAGGTAACATTATTTTTAATGATATATTTTATTTAATCCATTATAGCAAATATCATTTCAACATGAAATCAATATATAAAAACTATTCATGAGATAATTTACATTCTCTTTTTCACACAAATTCTTAGAAATCTGGTCTGCATTTTATATTTCAGGGACATTTCAGTTTGGACTAGCCATATTTCAAGTGTTTATTAGCCACACATGGCTAATGATTGCCATGTTAGATAGCTCAGGTCAGTATCTTTGTTAAGGCAGGTCTACAGCAGCCTTAGGTCTGTGACTAGTTTCATGCTACCAGGATCTGGCCCTTCCAGGGTTGGTCCAGTGAGGTCTGTTCTCTATTGTTGGTTGAAACTTTAATGTTTCCCAGCTCTTTGTGACTTTGGGAATTGTTTGACTTATAGCCCCTGAATTACACCCCCACCCCTGCAAGTTGCTCTTTCTTCAGCATGATATTTTGCCTAGCTCTTGGAGTTTCATCTGCACATGCCCATTTAGTATTTGGTAAAAGACTGAAGAGGACTTCTGCACAGATCTCCGGAACTCTTTCTCTGTGTAGTTTCCTCCTTTCCAGTACTCTTCTTTGTAAAGTCCAGCAGCCTCCTTCTGAATTCCAGTCTCTCACTCCCCAACTCAGTGAGATAACTGTGCTCTCCTTGGGGTTCCTTCTCTGCTCCATGGTCTGCAAAGTGCTTCCACACTGCAGGCCTGGGTGATCCCAGGGTTTACCTTACCAGCTTATCTTCCCTGAGAGATCACAATCCGTGCTGTGGTGTGGGACTGGGGATGGGTGCAGGCTGACAGCCTAATACTCACTATTCTTAAGGCCAAAAGCAGAGGTCCTACTTAAAAAAAATGTTTTAGCTGGCTGCGGTGGTAAATGCCTGTAGTCCCAGCTACTCAGGAGGCTGAGGCAGGAGGATCACAAGTTCAGCCCAACTTGGACAAAATATCAAGACCCACCATCTACAAAAGAAAACAAAACAAATACGGTTTTGAACTTACCTATTAGTTTTACTATCTAGTTATTTCATAATTACTTTGATCTTTATTAATCCCTTCTTACAGTCTTCTTTAATATTATTCTTTTTATAACTTTATTTATTTTTATTCTTATTTATTAGAAATAATTAGGGCTATGAGTTTTTCTTTCAGGGATTCCTTTAGCTATTTCCACAGGTTCTGATATGCAATATTTTTGTGGTCATTATTCTCTAGATAATTTGCAATTCCGGTTTTGCTTTTCTCTTTGACAAAGAATTGTTCCAGAGACTTAAAAAATGTTTGAGACGGTAGAGTTTTATGTTTCAGTTTTCTGGTTTTATTAATTTTAGTTATATTATATTATAAATAAAGTTATCTACACTATAATTTTTGAAGATGTTTTAAGTTTTCTTTGTAGCTTAATATGTAGTCACAACAAACCTTTGTAAACAAGATGTTATTTACTTTTTACTGTAAATTGTTTATCGACTTTAAATGAGTCAATGTTATCAATGTGAGTATATAAAATAAATTTAAATTTACAAAAATATAATCCGTGTGTGTGTGTGTTTACTCTGGGTGCCAGTGTAAGTATATTTCAAAAATGAGATTTTGTTCTAAAAAAATGTGAAAACCACTAGGCAATGTGACCTCAAAAGTCACCTAGGATGTGTAGAATGGGAATATAAATTTGTGCAGGGCCTAGAGTAGAGTGAGCCCTGAGTTGTGTTGAGATCAAAGGATACCCAGAGTATTTTTCTTCTCTCATTTTTCATTCCTTTTCTTTCTTTCCTCTACACAATATGCTAATAAAACTTCTAGATTACACAGACCGAGGCCAGGTGCTATACCAGTCTGTTATCAACAAGTGAGAGCACATGAAACCATTTTTAATTGGCCTTAGGAAAAGCAAAGGTGAAATGAAAATTTAATTCTCCTGGACCTTTTTTCAAAATGTATTTTTCCATCTCTACTGTAAAGAGTGAATTTTAATTAGGTTGATTCTCACTGTTTGGCCATGCATTTCTAATCTGTGCTCACTCTTTAGGAAAGAAGAATTTGATGAAAGGAACCGGATAATAATGGAAATCTTGTCTGAGCAGAACAAATTGGAATTATCCAATATGATAAGGATGTGAGAAGCATTGAGGCTGATGACTGAAAAAAAACACACCTCTCCCCAAAATGCCGCCGTTCTGCCTGGCACAGTCTTGTCCTGGCACAGGGAGAGAGTGCAATAGCATGGTATGTGCTTTTGGTGCGTCTGGGCCTTTCTGGTGGGTCACTTAATCCTCCACCCTCAATTTCCCCACCTGTAAAACGGGGGTAATAATCTCCACCTTGCGCTATTGTAAGGATTGAGAGAAATGAATTATGGGAAAGTGCCCAACATGTTATAGGGGCTCAGAGAATGAGTCAGAGGAGAATTTCCAAGGAAAGCTCTATGGCTGGGCTGAGGGTGAGATTCCTAGTTTATTTACAGCTTTGAAAAGAAAGAAGTGGACAGGGGCAGGCATGTATGCGTGAGTGAGAGTGTGTGAGTGTGTGTGTGTGTATGTGTGTGTAGGGCAGGGGAATCTGTGGGTACATCCTAGTACAGGCCAGTGTTTCTCTGTGTGCCATTCAGGATGAATTTCCTGTGGGATAGAAACAACCAGGGTCTTCTGCAGCTGAGTGGATTCAGAGTCCTCATCTGCAGGTAGAAAAGCCCCAGGAGTCCGTTTACCCCCATTACGCTACTCCTGTGAGGCCAGCTAAGTCCTTCAGCTGAACGTAGTGCACCAATGAGGAAACGAGTTAGGAGTTTCTCCAGCAATGCCAACAAGCAGGTCAAGTAACACACATCACGGGTGGCCAGGCCTCCCACGAAACATTATTTAGGGTGCTATGTCAAGCTGTCAGAGAGGGAGAAGATACACATCTTGGCTTTGGAGTTTGTGATTTAACAGAGAGAACAGAGAAAGAGAAAACACGAAAGGCACATATGAAGCTAATTTTAAAGAGCCAGTGGCCATACAGCTTTTTTTTTTTTCCCTAGACAATGTTAAAATCAAATAATTATTGAGGTCATCAGACAATAGCTCCAGGGTTGTGTGCAGAAAGAACAGTCCTGGCCAGGCACAATGGCTCACACCTGTAATCCCAGCACTTTGGGAAGCCAAGGTGGGCAGATCACCTGAGGTCAGGAGTTCAAGAGCAGCCTGGCCAACATGGTGAAACCCTGTCTCTATAAAAATACAAAAAATTAGCCAGGTGTAGTGGCGCATGCTTGTAATCCCAGCTACTCAGGAGGCTGAGGCAGGAGAATCACTTGAACCTGGGAGGCGAAGATTGCCAGTGAGCCGAGATGGCGCCATTGCACTCCAGCCAGGGTAAAAAGAGCGAAACTCCATCTCAAAAAAAAAAAAAAAAAAAAAAAGTCCCATGTTTCTATATGCACCATTCAGGTTGAATTTCCTAAGCACCTACTGCATTCCCAGAATTAGGAGTACAAGCTCATGGGCCAGGCAGATCAGGATTAATTTCCAAGTCTGTCACCATTTTTTTTAAAAAACTGTATATACTTAAGGTGTGCAGCATGATGTTTTGAAATACAAAGTGAAATGATTACTACAGTCAAGCAAAGTAACGTGTCTGTCACCTTCCACAGTGACCCCTTTTCGTGTGTGTTGCACCTAAAATGGACTCTGCAAAATTTGCAGTCTACGTTGCAACATTATTAACTATTGTCCTGTGGCTGTATGATAAATCTGTAGACTTATTTATTTTGTCCTTTGACCTACATGTCCCCATTTCCTCTCCTTCCCCGGGGTTGGTAACCACCTTTCTAGTCTTTGTTTCTATGTATTTAACTTTAAGATTCCACATCTCCCTAAGACCTTGCTCTTCCTCACTCTTTTATGGCCTTGGGGAAGCCTAGGTCCTCCAGGCAGCAGAATTGCTTCTTAAAATGATTGCATCTGTGTGGCGACTGGTTTAATATAGAGATATTCTCAGCGTAGGGCCTGCGGGCTTGTGCTAGGCTCCTACAATGTACAGATAAAGGGGATCCATGTTCTTCCTTCCAGGCAGAGGTTCTGACTTTGTTTGATTTTGCCACTCCCTGGCAAGGGGCATTTAGCAATGTCTGGAGACATTTGGCTGTCCCTATGGGTGGGTGTATGTAGGTGCTAAACATCCTACCACGCATAAGGCAGCCTTCCTCCCCCTTCATTGTCCATTTCCTCTGATTGTGGAATTAAAAGACGAAAATGGGTCCATTCGAGGGAAAAGGATGCTGTTTTTACATGATGGCCTTGTCAGAGCCTTCAGCCTCCTCCTGCTGTCTCGAAGTTCTAGGCACAGCTGCCTCCGGAGGGCATGCTTCCCACCTGGGGCTTCCTGGCGGAGTGCCATCCTCATCCATATACATGTCCCCAATTAAAAGACGTCCCGCTGCCGGGGAAGCGGCCTGCACCTTGGAGCGAAACTGAAAGGAGAGACCCCGAGGTCTTCGCGTCCCTCCGTGGGAAGGCGAGGCAGGGCCCCGCGCGGAACACCGGGAGGCTCTGGGGAAAGGCAGGGCTTCTGTGGGGGATCCTGAAAACCTGCTTGGGGCGACTTCTGGAGCAGCGACTACAAGCAGCGCGGAGCCCAGCTGTCCTTGGCAAACACCCCACCGAGAAGGCGAGCGCTTGCTGGCTCCTCTGGGACGCCCCGGTCAAGCCACCCCCAAATGGGCCGTGACCCCGCCTTTGAAGGGGGCCCCCAGGGCAGCAGTGGACGTGGGGGCAGGGCGGGCGAGGGGAAGTTTTTCTTTCTCCCAGCTGGGGAGGGCTCGCCAGCTACCCCGGGGCTGCACCTCCTGGGACAGCCTCGGGTTGGAGCGCCGCTGCTGGCTCTGCGGCGGCCGCCTGGGTGACGGAGGGTGGGGCGGGGGTGGGTCGCTAGTAGCTCGGGAGCCGAGATCTGATTTCAGCGACCATGCCTATGTGCTGAGTCAAACCCCGCCTCTGGGCTGGGTCTGCAGCGGGGCCGCTGAGCATAATCCGCTGTGGTTAATGATTAATCACTGACCAACCCGCCTCCCGCGGCTCGGGTGGACCGAGTCGCTCAAGTGCCGACAGCTGGAAAGGAAGGGGAGGGCTGCCAGGCAGAGCGCGCCCTAGGCGAAGAGGGGCAGAGGCTAGCGCCAGGGGCTGCTGGTCTCACTTCCAGCAAGCCAGTTTAGAACGTTCTTCCTCCGCCCTCTCCCCACCTCGCCCCCGCCACATACACTCCCAAACCCCAACACCCAGGCGCCTCCTGGGCCTCTCCCAGGTTGGGCTGCTCCAGGAAGTTTTCATGAAAGCAACTGCAGGAGAACTCGAGTGAGATAAAGTGCGCCCACGCAGGTGAGTTTGCAGCCAAGAACTCTGGGCTCTGCTGGGAGGAGAAAGGGAAGTTGAGGAAGTCTTTGGACCTGGTAGCCTGGTGCTCTTTCTCATGGCTTCACCCAACCGCCCTGGCAGTGACTGCTCCCATGTCATTGATCACAGTCATGTCCCCGAGTTTGAGGTGGCCACCTGGATCAAAGTCACCCTTATCCTGGTGTACCTGGTCATCTTCGTGATGGGCCTTCTGGGGAACAGCGTCACCATTCGGGTCACCCAGGTGCTACAGAAGAAAGGATACTTGCAGAAGGAGGTGACGGACCACATGGTGAGTTTGGCTTGCTCGGACATCTTAGTGTTCCTCATCGGCATGCCCATGGAGTTCTACAGCATCATCTGGAACCCCCTGACCACGCCCAGCTACACCGTGTCCTGCAAGCTGCACACTTTCCTCTTCGAGGCCTGCAGCTACGCCACGCTGCTGCACGTGCTGACGCTCAGCTTTGAGCGCTACATCGCCATCTGTCACCCCTTCAGGTACAAGGCTGTGTCGGGACCTTGCCAGGTGAAGCTGCTGATTGGCTTCGTCTGGGTCACCTCCGCCCTGGTGGCATTGCCCTTGCTGTTTGCCATGGGTACTGAGTACCCCCTGGTGAACGTGCCCAACCACCGGGGTCTCACTTGCAACCGCTCCCGCACCCGCCACCATGAGCAGCCCGAGACCTCCAATATGTCCATCTGTACCAACCTCTCCAGCCGCTGGACCGTGTTCCAGTCCAGCATCTTTGGCGCCTTCGTGGTCTACCTCGTGGTCCTGCTCTCCGTAGCCTTCATGTGCTGGAACATGATGCAGGTGCTTATGAAAAGCCAGAAGGGCACGCTGGCCGGGAGCGCGCAGCCGCCGCAGCTGAGGAAGTCCGAGAGCGCAGAGAGCAGGACCGCCAGGAGGCAGACCATCATCTTCCTGAGTGAGTCCCAGGCCGGGGGCAACGCGTGAGCAGCTTCCCAACCTTCCCCCCGACCCGTGCCGCTGTTTGTGGCTCTCTTCAGGGGAAGGCTTGCCCTAGAATTGCACACTTCAGTTCACTGAGCTGGAAGAGTCTGTAGCAGAATGAGGGCATTGCTCTGGGTCTCTGGGTGTTTCTTCTCTGTGTTTTGGGGATTCATGGTAGGTTATGGTGAAAAGGGCACTAGACCAGAACTCAGAAGGTCTGGGTGTATTCCAGAACATCACTGCTATGACCTTTGGGAAGTCACAAAAAAATCTTCGGTAAAATGGGAACAATAATACTAGAGAATATGAGGGACAAATTAGGTAATGCAGGAGAGGTGAAAGTCCTTTGCAAAAGACCAAGTTCTGCAGAGAGAAAGGGAACCGTCTTATCTAGCTCTGTCTTTTATCGGGGGAAGCCTTTCTTGTTCAATTAACTTTTGTTCCCATTTTTCTCCTCCTTTGGAGAAAGCAGGCTGTGAGCAACACACACTCTCCGGCGGCTATTTTATTCCTTGAGCCTGTCCTACCCAATCTTAAGACATGGGAGCTCTCAGCACTCCCCAGGGCTTGTGTTTCTGCCACTAGTGAGTCTGCTCCTTACCAGACCAGAGCAACTTGGCAGGACAGCCTGTTTATCTGATCCAGAAAATCTGGCTTCACCGATTCCTAGGATTTGAATAGTCTCCTCACAGACCCAATTCTTAGGCTTGCTTTCTAAACTTTTGTTGTGATACAAGTATTTAAAGTTGGGGCCTTGTCTATTTAAAGAGAGCCCATAGGTCTGTTGACCCCAGAGCCTTCAGAAAAGGGGCCTAGTCGCTGGGAGACAAGGCTTTAATGGAGACACATGAAATGTGTGTGAGCAAAGGGTTTTAAAATATATTTTTTAGCAGAAACAATAAAAAGGGTGTATTGTGGGTGTGTGAGTGTGAGTCAAGAAGGAATAGCTCTAACAAACGTTTCCCTTCTTCCCTCTTCCCTGTCGCCTGTGGCATCAGGAGAAGGAATAAATCATGATGCTGTTTGTTTTGGTGTGGGCAACTGGGCAGCAGGTTCCAGGGACAGGAGGTAGACATGAGAAAGGGTTGGAAGGCACTTGGAGAGTGATGGAAAGACCTGGGTGTTGTCTCAGACCAACCCCTGGCTTCTCGTGTGTCACTAATTGTTAAAAGTTTAGGGTCTAATTTTAAACCCTCTTTATTCAATTTGAAATAATTGCCCTAATGAATTTCAAAGTACCCAGAGGCAGCCATGGATAAAGTGGATGGTGTCCCTGCCTTGTGCCCCCAGGGAAGTGGGCTTTGAGAGCTGTGGCAGGGGCTGTGGCAGGTGACCAGCTGACTTGACTTTACTCTGTGTCTGTGCAAAATGAGAATATTCGGATGCTACTCCGCATTAGGGGCTGTGCCAGGTGACCAATATTTCCATCTTCTAGAGGAGGAATTTGAGACTTAGAGAAGACCTAGTTCAGAATCACCTAAGTGCAGCTCCGAGAGTCCCACTCTGCTTTTCAGGGCAGGGAAATACGTGTCTGTCTGTGACTTTCACAGGCATGTGGTGAAAGGAAAATGAAACAAGGCGGGACTTTGACAAGCGTAGGTGAGCCTGGTGGTGCTGCTGCCTCTTAGGGCCCAGCCATTCTGGAAGCTGGAGTAGGTAACATGATCTTGGGACGTGGGAAGGGTACCCAACTCAGTGTATCACCCACTGGCTGTTACCACTCAAAATATTACAGGAAAGAATGGACATTGTATTTGCTTAAAGCTTGAATGTTTGTTGAAATGCTAGTTCTCCCTTCCTCTGTGTATATTCCCTGAGGCGTATCTTAAACTGTAAGCTGTAATTTACATTTTAGTGTGAGTTAATTAAATTTCCTTTTTTTTTTTTTTTTTTGATTGGAGGGGACTGGCCTGAGTGGATAAGAATTAGAGGGTAGACAAGCATTAGCAAGTGGTCTTCAACTACCTCCCAGTCTAACTTAGGAATTAAGGCTACCTTTGACCGAAGGGAAAATCATTGATTTATCATTACTCTCTATTTCACCAATCTCTGTGTTTCTTGTATTTCTCTGAGTAGATGTCTGTTCTTCCTGCAGTGGGTGTTCCAAGTTAGAGCCAGTCTCCATTTGCAGCCTAAAATCAGAATGCTACAGACTTTTATTTAGAGATGGATAGGACCTTGGAGATCATCAGATCCCATTAGTAATTGTCTGGAATGAGTTTGTTCTTGCTGCTGCTCTCATTCTTTCCTTCTAGCTCTTTCCTTCTTTCCTATACCAACTGTATATTAATCACCCACTGTGTTCTCAGCATAAAGATGGTTGAATGGCAATCAGGTGCTCAATGTGCGATAATGTCCTGGGGGAATTTACCGTTTGTATTTAGCCCATTTTCTCTGTGGTAGGTTTTCAAAGCAGTTCCCGCAAATGTCCTCCTCTCCCAATGAATTTCAAAGAGCTTTTAAAAATAGGAACTTCACTAATTAACTCAAGTTAGGAAATAAATTAATGGAGTGAAGAGGAAGAAATCATGGCCTGCATTCATCAGATTAATACAATGCAATTTACTTTGTGAGTTTCATAAAACTTGTGCTTTGGGGCATTTTTAACCCAGAACAAATGAACATATAAATTGTTTACAAATCGCTGAATTTAATATAGTAATTTAGCTGTCTTTTTAGTATTTCATTTCCCAGATGGATCAAATTAAAATAAATATTTGCTCATTTCAAACATATTTTAAATTTGATGTGAAATGTAAATGGCGACATATCACAAGTAGTCCTTGGAGCTCTTGAGGCAATAAAGAAAACAATTAAGACTGTTCCCCACTCGTTGTTAAAAATGCAAACTGCTGCACGACAGAAACAAAATTCATAAATCTACCCAAGATGAGGAAGCCCATGTAAAAAATGTTAATTTTCCTTTCTTCATCTTTCACTATTGTGCCTCAAGTCTAGGCAATGTGCTCGGCTGGTGAATAATGAAAACACATTGGGAACTCTGGGAGAGAAAGAGAAGCTGGGATGCCTACTAGCTCTAAGCAATTTACAGAACACAATAATGATGCAAAAGTGCACATTCCTGGAAACAGGAGTGTCTTGTCTTGCCCCTTCTCAGCCCAGTGACAAATCGGTACTAGACTTGGTTCCTGTTTCAAGGTTAGAGCCAGTGTGGCATGGTAATATTTGTCCAATGTCAGAACAGAGGTTGCTGGTCTGGATCTCTGCCTCTTCTGGAGAAAAGGAACTAATAATTTGATTATCTGTCCTGTCTCTTCAATGATGAGGATGGCCAAAGTGAGGTTTCCTTTCAAGCAAGTCTTTCTGCAGACCTCCCATCTTCTCTTTCTGAAGTCTCCTTTGGAGTTCTCAATGCAGATTGCATCCAGCTCTGTGGACACTTGTGTGTATCTATTGCACACATGGCTTGCTGTCAAGTGTCACCCACTCAAAGTGGAATGACAAAGTAATTTTTAAAATACATAGTTTTAATTTGTATAATAACTTACAAGTGATTGGGACTCAGTTACAACTACCTCCTAGAGAACTAGAGGGCAGCGACCGGCTTTCAACTATAGTTATGAAAAAAGATTGTTACGATCATGAGGTTATTAAAGAAAAGAAACATCATAGAAGCTTCGTAACTCTAGAATAATTACACTCTTTTGCATTCTGATTTGCTCTCCTGAGTCAGAAGGAAAGGGGAGGAGTTACATCTAGTGGCAGGGATTACACGTCAACTTGGGTTGCTCATGTTGAATATGGACATTATTTATCGTGTGTGTTTGGATGGAACAAAGGTTAAGAGTTGCTGCTGTAACGAACTACTCTAAAAATCAGGTTGACATACATTTAGATGTTTGCGGTGTGCTTCAGGGAGAAGCAAAGAGAAGAAGCTCAGAATCACATCCTCTGGGTTTTTAGACCACAGAATTAGAGGTCAAACCAAACAGGGTCAGGGGAGAAAAAGAGGAGAGGGGAGAGGGGAGAGGGGACTGAGATATTGACAGTGGGTCCTCTTTACCTGAGGACAATCATTACCTGAAAAGAACTCGTTGGTTCCCTTAAAGTGGGGTTGAAAACATGTGAAAAGAGGTCTCATTGGGGCTTGAAAGTGAAAATTATGAAAAGAAATTTATTTGTATGTTACAAATATAAGTTATGGTTACAACTATATATTATAATGATTATTCAGAATGAATCCAATGTGGCTTGAGGGCATAATCTTTGTAACAAAACCATCTGATAACCTTTGTGTTTCATTTTCTCAGTAAGATTATGAAAAGGGCCTCTCTTCATTCTTTGCTATTTAAATCACCCTCATGGTAGCACCTATCCTTGCATTATCCTTGTCAATTTTCTATTCTTTCATAATTATCTGGTCTAATTCGAGCAAACCTTTACTGTCAGTGGCTCGGCATTTGAATCATCTTTTTTTTCAGCTTCCTTTTCATTGACTTCATGAAATTCTGTACCCTGTGTGTAGGCCATAACCAAAAATACAATTAGTTTAAAAACCAATCCCTATACTCTACTGTATATTTGGTATTACACAGAAGTGGATGCCTTGAAATGCTTTGAAAGTGCCCACGAGAATTTTTAGTTATTCTTCACTAGGTTTAGTTATTTTCTTCACTAGGTTAAATGCTGGTCTTACAATCATGTTTTCATCATGAGTTTTCTTGGCAAAGGCTTTTTATTTGATATAAAAGGATATGTCAACACAGTTTTTGAGGGAAATGCCATCAAAATTAAATTCGTGACTTTTTAAGTTTAAGACATTATTTTGACTCAAATGTTTCAGTATTTCAGAAAAAAGTTTTGCCTCAAGTATTCAGATTATCACCTCTATTCCCTTTTCCCTTTATTGATGTATATGTGGCTATAATAAATGGTATTTTATGTTTATTTTTCTATTTGTGATAGCTGTCATAAATTGCAAGTGTCCTGTGATCAGCCTGGCAGACAAATATCATAATGCTGCGTTATTTTTATAATTAGGCTGTCTCAAAGATTTCATTTCTCTGTTGGAGAGATGCATAGTTTCGGAGGAAGGGGAGATTGGAATCCCAGTCCCCATTGATTAGCAAGCCTGTTCATCTGTCAGCCTCCTGGGGGATGCTGAAGTGTAATAAGAAAGCAGAGGCCTCCGTTGCACAAAGCGTTTGGCTTATTAGTGCTAAAACCATTCAGAATAAGAGCCATTTGTGAGCTGAGACACCACAGTGGAAGAATATTGAACTGGGAGTCAAGGAGCCCCTCTGGCTGTACAAGGCAAGGTCCCCTGGTCCACCATTTGGAGGACACTGTTGACTCCTATCCCTTTTCCCTCTGCACACTTCCCCTGCCAGGCTGCAGCCCTGGGACCACTCAACTCACTCTCCACCTCTAGTCTTGGCTATTTACTGAGCACTGGTCATCCCTTGTGCGGCTCGTTCTTGTGAATGAATGGTGTTCAACCTCACCTGGGCCCCGCCCTCTGGTGGACACCTTCCTTTGTAAGCACTTTCGAAGAGCTCTGCCTCCCACGCTACTCTTTCTACTTTGTTTTCAGCAAGCCTGCTCTTTGCGTGAGGGTCCTTGACTAAGGTATCATCACTGGAAAAATCTCCATGTATTCTTGTCTGTGTCTGGGCTGATCACACTGCAGCCACTGGGATCTTGTTGACACCCCCATCTCTGACTCCAGCAAAGTAAAGCCAGTCAGTGGTTTCCCATGGCTCTTATGTCAACCACAGACCAAAACTCTTGACATAAGGCCCTCACATCAGCTGCCTCTCCAATTCTATCAAGTGCCGTTCTCCCCTTGTATTCATCTGCTCTGGCCAGGGTAACAACATGCCACAGACCGGACGTCTTGAACCATAGACATTTATCTTCCCACAGTTCTGGAAGCTAGAAGTCTGAGATCAAGTGCAGCAGGGTTTGTTTCTTCTGAGGGCTTTCTCCTTGGTTTGCAAATAGCTGTCTTCTCATTGTGTCCTGACCTGGCCTTCTCTGCGCATGTGTTCTCCAGGTGTCTCTTCCTCTTCTTGTAAGGATGCTGGTCTTGTCAGATTAGGGCCCCACCCTTAGAACTTTATTTTACCCAGATTACCTCCCAAAGGCCCAATCTCCAAACACAATCACAGCAGGGCTTAGGCCTTCAACTTGTGAATTTGCAGGGGACACCGTTCAGTTTATAACACCCCTTAACTGCCTTATTCCACTGGCTCCCCTTCAAGTTCTTCAGGCGACCATGACTGGCCCTCTTCCCCCATGCTGCCTGTGTACAGGTTGTTTCCTCTGCCTGGAGTGCTTTTCTGTCTTACTCTACTCTCTACCTGCTCCCCATTTCCATCTGCTTCCCCAGGTTAATATCTTTCTCCTCTCTCAGATCTCCCCAGGGGAGCTGGCCCATCCTCCCTGACTTCATTAAGCATCCCAAAAAACAAGGCTCGCAGTTGTCATTTGACATTTAATTGTGCAATTACTTGATTAATGTCTGTCTACCTTCTAATTCCTGGAGGACAGGAGCACACCCTAATTTCCCTCAACACTGTACCTCATTCCAGCATAGCACATACAGGTGGTCAATGAATATTTGTTGACTGAACAAATGAATGAATGAGCCTCAGCTTGGAATTGAGAAGCAATGTTCTGTTTTCCCTTGGGCATGCATGCGTATGGAAGTTCATCATTCCTCAAAAGTGTTCTGGTTCATCTGAACCAAAGGTGCTCTCTTACAAAGGGTTGTGATTCCTCTGAGGCCTCTGAAGTCAAGCCATCATGGAAAACATTTAAGATTTGCTTGCCCCTGAGCAAACAAACACTCTGTGCTGATCAGACCCTGAATGTTAGCTTTAAGCATGTATACCTGCCGGAAGTAACCAGGAAATGAAAGTGATTTCATAGGGTGGTCAATGGTCCTTGTTAAACTCTGTTGAACAGGATGTTAAATGCAATGATACAACACTAAACATTATTTCTTAGCAGGCTCTTTCACCACTTGTTAACAAGGGGGTCCTCAAGGTAATGAGGAGGCAGTGGGGGTGACATTTTGAAAATACTAAACCAATGTGTTTATATGTCCACCTTAAATTGCATCCACTTGCAGCCATCTCTCTCAAGGGTGAGCCACACTTATCACCCTAGGGAAGGAAAAAGCAGATACTGCCTGGGACAAAGCTGTTGTGGATCCATCCTGGGTTCAGAGGATGCAATTCTTGACCTCTTTAGCTGGGCAATTATTTTGAAAGCCAGACTTTGTGAAGGATGAAAAAGGATTGCCTAACTTCATACCTCTCCCTTTAATGTATCATGAGCCCAACCTAGTGGACTAGATCAGCCAGTTCCGGATGAGACCATAGCTAAGGGGTTTGGAATTTATCCTTGGAAGCCATTGGAGGGTTTTAAGACATTAAACAGCACAGTTGAATTTCTAGTGCTGCCCCTAGAGTGACAGCATTTGTTGCATTGCAATTTGGGTCAAAGTACAGGCCTGGCCATGTTTATAGAATAAAAAAACAGACAACCCTTCATTGGCACACAGTTCTGGTAGAGCAGCTGGCACTGGTAAGTTCTCCTTTCCATTAGGCAGACCTCTGGCCCTTGGTTTCCCCAAGCCTTGCTGCTGCCACTGCCCTCCGTGGCCAGAGAGTGACTGCTTCCATTCAGCAACTCCCACTTTCCCAGCACGGAGGCCCAAACTGTCCCCACGTTGCTCAGGTCCTGCTTAGGAGGTGGCCGTAGGGAGAGAAACTAGGTCACAGTAGCTCTCACCTGTCATCTCTATTGCTCAATGGTCTATTCGTTCTTCAACGACAATCTCCAGCTACGACCCACTCATGTATCTCCCATGAAAACACTTCTTACCACTTACACTAGCATTCTGCATATGATATATCTCAATGCCTCCCACTTCTTCCGTGAAGCCTTCCTGGACTACGCCAGCCTACACTGATCTTCCTGTGCGTGGTCAGCCATCTTCGACATTTCTCAGAAGGGGGCACAGATGATGTCTCCTGACTATATTGAAACTCCCTAAGATCAGGGACCCTGCACTGTTGTACATCTTCAACTTTCCTTACTGGGTTGGGGGCACAGTGGGCATGGACGGCTTGAGAGATTGATGGATTGAAGTTCTCTGACAGAGGCTCCTGCTCCTGATATGGAGGAAAAGCACCCTCACTATGATTCTCAGGAAGCTCTCTTGCTTCTACCTGCATTTCCTCCTTTCCCTGTGCTAGGCAGAATTCTGAAATGGCCTCCAAAATCCCTGGTCCCCAAGGTATACATATCTTCTCCCAGTTATTCAATCAAACACTAATCTAGTGTTGCAAGGAAGGGAAGTAATTAAGTTCCCAAATCTGTTGACCTTAAAATAGGGAGTTTTTCTGTGTGGGTTTAACCATGTCACGTGAGCCTTTAAATCTGGGTCTAGAGGTCAGAGGCAGGACAACTGAGAGAGTCAAAGCATGAGAGGCATTTGACCAGGGAGAAATTATCTGTTGCTGGCTTTGGAGATGGAGGGATCTGGCAGAGAATATAGGTAAGTTCTAGGAGCTGAGCACCAGCAAGAAAATGGACCCTGAATAAGCTTAGAGGTAAATTTCCCTCCAGAGCTTCTAGAAAAGAACTCAGCCTGGCCTATACCTTGAGAACCCAGGCATACCTTGCCTGGATCTCTGATCTACAGAATTGTCTGCTAATAAATAGATGTTATTTTAAGCCACTAAATTTTTGATAATTCACTATGCACCAATAGAAAACTATAGATTCACTGAACTCTACTAAAGGAGCTCCCAGTTAAACACATGTCCTACCTTAGTTATAACTTCCAAGACAGATTCAATCTCCAGAAGCTTCTCTTTGAAAAGTCTCACCTTCCCAGAATTGCCTTTGGCCCAGCCATTCACAGATCCACCAACCACTTACTGATCACCTGCTCAGTGCTGAGTGATCCGGAAGTCTAAC